AGAAAGAGTATATATATATATATATTATATTATATATATTATATATATATATATGTACACGTACATACGTATGCATACACATACACGGAGGACACGTGTAGAAGTTATCGATCACTACATTATATATTATATTATATAAACTTTCTGAGGCTGTGGGTGTGGCATGTAACGAGGAATATGCCGAATATTTGCGAGCTGCACTTTGTGTTTTTGTTTTTCTCCGATCTTTTTCGAAAAACATGATTGAGAAGTGACGAGATGCGAGAAAGAAAGAAAGTGTGTGAGAGGGAACGTGTGTGATAGTGCGCGAATACTTTCGTCTGCCTGCCCGTATAAAACTGTCCAATCGCGTGCGTAGAAATGTAAGAGATGTAAGATGGCGGAATAGAGAAGCACCTTCGTCGAGAGTTTTACTGTCAATAGACGGAATCTGATGAATTTTGTCGCGACAAGAGTCTGTTCTCGTTCTTGAAAAAGCTGTCCAAGATGAACGGCGAAGAATAATTGCATCTAGAAGAGTTAAAAGATCGAAAATAAAAAGTGAAAAATCGCGTGGTGTTCGTGAAATTGAGGTTATCACGGTTTTTCGCTGTTGTTATTCTTTTTCTTCGCATTTCAAAAGTATTATTATTCGAAAAGAGTGATCAAAACGAGATCTAGACGAGGGGGAAAGAAATGAAAAATCGACGAACCAAGAGGATGGGTGCGAATGAGATAGGAATATGTGATGTTCAATGTTATCGAATGTTTGACAGAAAATTTAATTCTTCTTTGTCGATTCAGAATTATATATACATAGAATTATATATATATATAAACGCCTCGCAGTGTGCACGTCACGATCAATCAATTACAAGAAGTAATAAAAGAGAAAGACAAATTAATGTCGTCGATCGTCTCATGTAACCGGTCCAATCGTGTTTCTTCGATTACTATCATCCACGTAGTTTTCTATACCAGTCCAGTTTTGTACATACTCATCTCCTCCCCATCTGAGCGAATTCGTACGATTTTATTCGCCTTTTCATTCATCAAGAACGAACGACGACGTTAATTTTTCATTAAAACGAGAAATAAACCGTGAAACATATGGTTGCAAAGATCGTGGATGTGCCATTAAAGGCAGAAACTGTATTCGTCGTTATTCTGGTATCAGTCGCGTCAGGATCGACCCTCCTCGAGAGGAACGAAATAAAAACGGAGAAAAAGAAGATCGTCTCACACAATCGTTTCTACTGTAATATTGTTAATAATATTGCAACAGTGATTCAATAGTACTCAATATCGTCAACTATATCATGTACTGTTTATACAAACTCTTTTGAATAGGAATAATTATTACTATTACATCCATCGTGTATGTAAGTATCGTATTCTCCAAATGCACGATTCATCAGTGGATGGATTTATCAGTTTATAATAACAATTTCATTGTTGGATCACTGTTACATTATTATCCTGTTAGAATGATCGTAGAATGTGTTTTTTTTTTTCTGTAGAAACGACCGTGTGACTAATTGTATCGAGAGATAAAGAGAAGACAAAGTGGCAGGAAAATGAGCCTTCACGAGAGAGGCAAACTTCGAGCTTATCGTTCGGACTGTTAGCAGATCCTACGCACGCAGTCAAGCGCGAAATCGGCGCGAGAAAAAAAAACCTCTTAGAGGACCTTGGACCATTCCGCTCAATGTGACACGCACGGCTCTGTTAATAATATTCAACCCTCTGGATACGTAGCTTTTTTTTTTGGAAAAATACAGCTTTGGGATTTATTGAAATTTAAACAAGTATTATCTTAAATATTCTCGAGGATTCTCTGGTGTTTGTAATTAATACAGGAGTTCTAAATTGAAGTTTCAATAAATTCCAAATCTGTGAACGTTTTCATGATGTTTTTTTCCCTGGTCTTTTATTTCTTCGTGGAGGAATTTTTCGAAGATTTCACAGAAAATTGTGTGAAAGTTAGAATTCCATAGAAATTAAGAATACTGTAAAATGTTGAAATATTTTCTCCATGGAAGAAAGGAGACTGGAGAATTGAATGAAAAATTGAAAATAGGAGTTGTAAGAGGGATATTCGAGGAAATTAAGGATCCTCTTCGACGGTCCAAAGAATTCTCATTAATTGATATGCGATAAATTGATTTTTGGATTGTTGGGGGATCAACAGAGTCGCCATGATCGACACGAACGAACCGAGATTTTGATATCCGCTTTTTATTGTTTTCGTGTACCAGCGTTTCTAATTTTCTACGAGGACTAACGACGAGCGAGAATGGAAGAAAATTTGGTGGAGGGAGTCGGAGGATTTTTTGTAAAAGTAGTCTGTGGAGTGACATGCTCACAAAACGAGAAAAAAAGAGCAAAAAAGATAGAAAAAAAAGGAAAAGTATACCGGAGGCTGACCAGCGGAGACTAGAAATATCTTTTATTTCTATAGATTTTTTAAGGGGAATCACTGTGCTGAGGAATTTTTAACACTTACAAGGATAATTTGTGTAATTTATGTTTTCTCAGAAAAATTCTTGCTTTGTGATATAATTTAACGCTATTATTAAAAGAATATTATTTCTTCAGCACAGTCGAGCAATTTTTGTTATTCAAATTATTTTTCTAATTCTAATTTGAGGGACCTCTGCAATTTTCTCAGCGAGAAAAGTGGCAATTATCATGGCAGCTGTTTAGGATGCAATATTACTATATCCAAAAATGATTTCTATTTTTTTATTATTGTTCTTTTCTTAACGAGAGAATATTAGAAACAAACATGAATCCTCCTTGAACCTATTTTATATTTTTTTAAATAATTTCTAAACGATGTTTGTTGAATTCTTACTGAAAATTTGAGCTCGTTGAAGGAGGATTTGAATCTGATTAAAAAGGAAGGAAGAAGCTTCTGCGCGATTCAGCCTGCGGTTTCAAACCTTGGAGAGAAAAAGGGGACAAAAAAAAAAAACAAAACAAAAAAAAAATGTAATAAATGAAACGAACAGAGCACCGGTTAAATGCGACGCGTCCGAAATTTTTTAAAAAATACGACGTCGCGTTTTACTAGCGATTTTTACGCCGTTTTTTACACGATTCTCGCCGGCCTAAGGAGCTGTCTTTTCCACGAGACGGTGAACCATGCCGCTTTGCACTGCTTTCTCGCGGAGCACTCTGCGAATCGACCTCGATCCTTCAATCGAGAGATCAGCTACTAATTGAAAAAGATGTCCTGATCATTAAAATTATTTTTCTTTAATTTCTTCGAACTCCCATATTTACCATCCGAAAAATTTCCTCGAGTTTTGTTTCGAACTGAAAATTTGACGATTCTTTCGCCTCAGTTTAAAAATTCATACAAATTTACAAAGTCCCGATTCTTCTTAACCAATTATTTTCAAGATTCAACAATTTTCTCCCGGCCAGTTTAAAAATTCGTTCAAATCCAAAACTTTTTGCTACGATTTGGAATTGAATATTTGGTAAGTCTTCTGTGCCAATGTGAAATTTCCCCGAAGTGGAAAAGAGTTTCAGAATTTCTACTAATTTCCCCGTTCCACGAAAATTGAAAAGTTCTCAAAATTTCCACCGACATTTCCCACATTTCTCTGATATATTTGGAACTCGTTTCATTTAAAAATTCGAAATTTTTTTAAAATTTTGCCTCCGTTTGAAATTTCCCGCGGAGGTATTCGTAAATACCTCCC